CAAGGGACATAACTCGGTTATTTGTCATTCTTGAAGGATTTGTAAACATACATGCACTGAACATCCCGTATAGTTATAAATTTAACTATGGTCCTAGAGACTACATATTGCCCTGAACATCATGATATAGTCTATTATTATCTAAATGATACTGTCTATATTCAGGCCGGTTCGGAATTTTAGACGTGGGGTGGGGTGGGGGGGGGGCTGATTACCTACTCATAATCCTAACCATAACCCTTACTGTGTCCAACTGGGCGTTTAGACGTTTTTTATAGGTCACGAATGGTGACTTTAAGCCTGACATTTTGTGAAATGAAATGGGGTTTAACGCCCTACTGTTCTGGACCCTGTTTCACAAAAACTTAAACTAAAATCATTAAAATAGATTTTAACTAAAATCAAAATGAAATTTTAAATTTTAAGCGTTTCAGGAAGATCGATTGTAACTTAAAATGCAATTTTAATAGATTTTAGTTAAAATTGCTTGCGCTCGCGCAGTGCACAATTCCGGCGAGGGCACATAGGGCGTGAGCGTCCACGCTTCGGAACTGAAAACTGTTGCCAGGTTGAACTAACCGTTACAATACCAATGAGGGGGTTTCATACGTTGTAACAATGTCTGCACATGATCAGTCAATCGTAGAGAGATGAAATAAATAAGTTTATTGCGTGTTTTTTGTTTTGAAATGTATCAGTTGGTTGGCCTTGAACCCGCATGTCGCTTTTGTGACCTTGGCATTTGATTTACTCGCAGGCTTCAATGGAAATAATGCGTATCGATAAACTAAATCGCTTGAATTTCGTAGTTTTATGGTATTTTGTATAACAGAAACCTACTGAGAAATTGTCACAAACATGTGATATTTCTGACTCAAACGATTAATCTAGACTAAACTATTGTCGATTTTTAAAAGAATTTAATAACTTTTAAATTAATAACCAATGTTCCGGCGATGCCTAGATTTGAAATGTCAGTCCCATAGACCCTTTCAATAATAATTTGAAAATGCCAAAGTACCACACTCCTTATTGGATAATGCCTATCTATTCCCAATATAAAATACCCTTGGCTCCTATATAAATCATCATAACCCCAAAGCCATAAATACTTTGCATATGTTTCCGGCGTGGTTCCCCCTTGTCAGTGATTCAGGACGGAGGGCCTGACAAGGACAGCTGTCTAGTCCTTCGGATGAGTCGAAAAACCGTGTATATATTGGAATGCACGTAAAAGATCCCGTGGCAGTTGGAATTCGATATAAGAGTAGGCGATTGTACCGCTGCCCGGGCAAAATTTCCCTCATAGCACACTGTATGGCGTATGCCCGTCTTCAATAGCCCAGTATAGGAGCAGAACAGTAGGACGTTAAACCCCATTTCATTCCATTTTCATTTCATTTACTTTGCATATGGCGTATCTAGTATTATAGGACTGACAAGGTTTCGATTCCCTGGTTGTACGTCCAACCTCTTGGGTTTTCTCCGGGACCTCCGGTGACCTCCCACTACTAAAGACCCCTACGCCCAAGCGAATTATTCAAATAAAATTGAACCATGTGTTAGTCCATGTGTTACTCTCTCTCTCTCTCTTTCTCTCTCTCTCTCTCTCTCTCTCTCCCTTTTTAAACAATTGTAGGCCTTAGACATTAGGTATGAAGTGTGTTTAGATTTTTTTAGGATTTTCTTTTTTTTTTGGGGGGGGGGTCTATTAATTATTTGAAAATAATATTATTTATACTTGAATCATGGTAATATATAAAATAGTAACAAAGAGTTTTGATGGTTTTTTTTGTTCTTGGGGTTTTAATTTGGGGCGTCATCTAATTGCTTATATTGCCATGCAATGAAAAAAAAAATGAATGAAAATTATTTTTGTGAATGATAGTATGTTTAAATTATACAACCCGATCCATTGGCAATATTATCATTATTCCAAATATATCCATATGTCGCAATAGATCCAACAACGTAGCTCTAATCAATGTTTGTTAATGTCGTGATTTTAAGTTAGGAGAGGGTGGCGGCTGTACTAAGTTAAAATTGATTTTAGTTAAAATTGTCCCTAAAATAGCTTTGTGAAACGCCACTATTTTAAGTTAAGATAGAATTTTAACTTACAATATTATTTTAGTGGATTTTATCTAAAATGCTTAAAATCGTTTTGTGAAATGCATCTATTTTAAGTTAGGATGGAATTTTAGTTTAAGACGATTTTAAGGAGATTTAAATTTTTGTGAAACGGGGCCCTGCTCTAATGGGGTTAATGTGTGGCAATTTTGCCCGGACAGCGGCGCTATAAGGGCTATATTGTCCGGACAGCGATTCCATTTCAAATTCCAACCGTCAACAGCGAGCACAGAATCCAGACACAGATATGGAATATGAAGAAAGTGACCCAGTCCGAGAAATCTCACGATCACATGCCAATGTGTATACGGGTCAGTTTTTCTTCCCATCCGAACGACTTTACGTTGTCCCTTGCCAAGTCCTCCGTCATTCATCACTGACGACAAATGGGGCCACGCCAGGAATCCCACATCTTCAATAGAAGGCTTGATCTCGCCTTAACTACGTACATCTTATCAAGCTAGATGTTGTAAAACTCGCGGTCGTTGCTTCATGAACATGGGAATCCCAATGACCTTCCCGGCCAACGCAGTTATCGAACACGGGTCCTACGGGTTAACAAGCCAACGTCTTACTCACTGAGCCACCGTGACTCCTCTGACATTTTGTTTGTGACTATCAGTCACGTATAGCGTACATATCACCCCCAGAATTTCTTGACATCATACATTTTGTCGACCATACATTTTGTCGACCATAAGTAAAATGATCGGCACAAACTAAAAGTAGAATATGCAACATTTATTTCTAAAATTCCTTTTAAAAAATTCTTCAACATCAAAAGTGAGTTGTGGTTTGTGTTTTTCTCTTCTGGTTAGCCAGTCCACATATCAATTTGGTCCTCTTCTGAACAGAAGAATTAGTAATTTGTCTAAAATAGTTTGGGTACAACATGTTCATATCGATTTGCCGCGACCAAGTGCAATAATCTTTACTGGGTTGTCTCCCTTCATCTTTGATTTATAACTTATTACTATTAGACGTTAAAATTGTAATAAACAACAGCTTTTAGCTTTGAATATATACTTCATTTATATGATAGATGAGAAACTACTGATTTGACAGAATAAGAACACATATTATATCAAACCATAACCAAAGGCTGTCTGGGTCAAATATTAAAAATGGATTCACTTTTGGCGTTTATGCAACCATAGCTAGAGTGGCATTCGAAACTATATTTTTCTAAAATATATTAAAACGATATAGCTCCGCCCACTCCCCATAGCAGGTAATTACGTAACTTCAACGTGGAAAATATTATGCATCTGTGAGTAAGACGCTGGCGCACAAACCAGAAGATCCGTGGTTCGATCCCGGTGTTGATCGAGATACTTTCTCTGGAATTCTTTCAGCGTGTTTTCTCCTTATCGGAGAGATGGGGCGGAAAATAGGGGTCCCGTATACACATTTGTGCGCATGGCAAAGAACCCACAGTAGGAATTCCATGTATAGAGTAGGCGGTATGGGCAACATTTCCCAAATTTTGCACAAGGGAGACATTCCTCACAACACCGGCCATGGTTAATTGACGAAATTTCGCGTTCATAAACGAGATGATGGTTTATTTTTAGCGACACTGACAGGCACCGCGTTAGGGTTAGGGTTGGGTTTGGTCCAAAAATTCTGACGTCATGTGCAATTCAAAGTGATTGACCCCGTGAGGAATGTCTCCAAGGCGACCAAGTTACATTTGCCGCATAGCACACTGTATTAACCCGGATAGCACCACTGTACGACCGTCTTCATTGGACCGGATGGAGCAGAATAGAATATAGGAATTGTGTTTAACACCCATTTCTGTTATTTTGAGACTAACATGTGGATTTGTTTCTGTCTTTAGATCACAGTTTATACTGTCTCATCACAGACTAAGCAACATTTTTCTTTTCACAAAGGGGGGTTGGATGGCCGAATAGTTAGCACGTGCGCGCTGTATCATGAGGCCTGTCATTGAGTTAACTGGCGTGGTTTCGAATCCCTGGTTGTACGTGACAAGGAGTAGGGTTGCCTGTCCAACCTCGTGGGTTTTATCCGGGTCCTCCGGTTTCCTCCCACTGCTAAAGACCCCTACGCGCAAGCAAATTATTGAAATAAAATTAAACCGTATGTTAGTCCCGAAATGACCTAGTTTTGTCAAGTGGACGTTAAACCCCATTTCTCTCTCTCTCTCTCTCTTTTCACAACTCGCTGACTTGTACCATCCCGGTGTTGGCCCAAAAAGGTCATCATGATTTTCCGGTGTGATTCCTCTTTGTCATTTGAATAGGGACAACGCACATTCGTTTGGATGGCACGAAAAACTGAGGTCCCGTGTACACATCGGCGTGCTCGTCAAAAAACCCGTGGCATTCGGAATTCGATATAAAAGTACCCCGTGGCAAAGCTGTTCGGGAAAAATTTCCCACATAGCACACTGCCTGGCGTATGCCTGTCTTCATTAGCCCAGTCGATGCAGAACAGTAAGACGTTAAACCCCATTTCATTTTATTTCAGAGCCCTGTTGGAGCAGAACAGTAGGACGTTAAACCCCATTTCATTTCATTTCATTTCAGTAATAATGAGTAACCGACAATGGTATTGCCAAGACGTTTCAAGGGGAGATAGCTGTATTTCAGGCGGTTGCTATTTATACGACATTATATCCTGAATGACATTCTGAAGTAGAGCTATTGAAACTTGCATGAAACAAACTAAGAAACAATAAATCCATTAAGTTGTGTTTTTTCATAATGCAATACGACATTAATAAAATATACAAATAATTCTAAAATTAAGTGAGCAATAAACACAACAAAAATATTATCTATATATTTAATCGTTTATATCATTATTTTTTTTTCAAATACTATAAATGGAATAAGCAAGCCAAGTTGAATGTCGATCGGTCTTGAATTAGCGGAGGCTTAGGCTCCCAAGACGAACCACAAGATGTCTAGCGCTTTGGGACCAGTTTATGGTCCAAATTCATCATTTCAAAACTAAATGTAAAATAAAAAAACAGAAGTGGATGTTTATTCCATACAAGTCTGACAAATAAAACACCAATGCCATGGAGACGCTGGCAGAGTCCGGGGAACGCCAAGGGCTTAAGAATCTTGATTCCGATGAAGTCTGTCAAATAATACTAAACGAGTCCGAGAAACACCGATAGCCTAGAGACTCTGGCAGAGTTTCCAGTGAAGTTGTTTAATATGGTTTTTAAACAAGTGTCTGAGAAACACGGCCTAGATACCCTGCTAGCGTTTCCGATGAAGTCGTCTAATATGGTTTTATTATGGAATATTTCGTGTTTGTTGACTTTTCACCACTCTCGTTCAGCAGACATTCTTGGTTTGATTTGTCAAACGTATAACCAACACAATAATATGACTGTAGACACTGAACACCGCAATAAAACAAGTTATGTCCCTTTACTGTTGTCAGTGTCTTGTTTGGTACCGGCCCATAGGTTGGTAATGCTTCAAAATAGGCGGCGTTTGCTGGAATACAAATATTTAACAATGATTTTAAACTTGTCATTAAAAGTAGCTTGACAGGTATTCGGTATTAGTGGTCTGAATCCACCGATTTTGTTCCATGGTGCAAATGGTTCCAATGGATTGGCCGGACCTTATGGAAGTAAAAATGTCCCACAGAAACAAGATAATGATAAAAGCTCCCTAACAAGATGTAAAAGGGTTAACTGAATACAAGATCAATATAAATCTATCAGTCATTTATTTGTGTTACGTCGATTCATGTATTTGTTAATTACCTTTTAAATGAAAATGCCGTTCAAATAAATATTATAACCTTCTTTAAAATAAGCATTATGAATAATGATAAATGAATCTGGATATAATTGGTAGTACGTCCGAGTAATTCCATGGCCCCTTTTATTTTGGTTTAGATAATAATAATACAATTATAAAAAACATTTACAATAACATACAACTAATTAATTAATAGAGGCTACTAGAATGACCAATGTTAATGTTTATACTCTCGTCAACACAAAGACTCAATCTGTTTTACAGACCTAATGCGACATTAGCGGCCAAGCGAATATTCACTGTTGATCAGTTTGACAAAGACTGTCAGGAAATAATTCCTGATTTTTGAATGTCAAGGTTAAATAATGTGTTTCAACAAATATCAAACAAATCTAATCCAAAAATCTTAATTAAATTACAGTTTACTTTCGTATATTTTTTGAGACAATATTTCTTGACACTGTCTGCTTAGTAGTACTTGTAATGTATGCTTCGTCTTGTGACGTTTTCTGCAATATCAACCTGAGTGGAAACGGACGTTACGTACGCCCAGCAATCCAAATAGTTTAAAACCCATAATCAATTCTCTAGTATACCGGATGGCCGTGGTTCACATGGATTAGAGCACTTTCCAGATTTAAGAATTTAACGATAAAATGAATAATCGAAAATTAGTCTCAATTAGTACCGTTGCTACGATAATAAACAATATACGCCACATCTTCAAACAGTCATAATCTCTGCTCAGAATAAAGTAATTTTTAAAAAAAAAATTCGATCTATTAATTTTGAATTATCTATTTAAACTAGTATAACAAGAACGACCAGCTCTTTATTTAAATCTTACATACTGTATATTTAAAGTAAAAAAAAGATCAAAAGATCAGGATAATTTTGATTTGAAAGATTCACAATTTTCTGAAGTCTGAAAATGCACCAAAAGAACCCAAAAAGTGGACCGTGTGAATGCAATCAAATGTTCTATTAACATTCGAATAATGACTTAACACTATTCGAATAATGACTTAACACTATTCGAATAATGACTTAACACTATTTGAATAATACAACCAGCATTCGATGTGACCAGCCCCACGAGAATTTAGAAATATATAACATGTCACTATCTAGATCAGCGTGTCCGTTATATAAACTCCTGAAAAATATCAGACGTAACGTACACACGATCGCTGACCTTGACACAATTACAGGGCATACCTTTACAGTAAGGTGCAACAGATCCAGATTCAAGTCGCCAGGAGCCGTCAGTATGACACGTATGGGTTCCAACATCTCCGGAAATCAGGGTGGTTTCTGGTTGACAGGTGTAGGACACGACATCTAGGTACCCGCCTTCAGCGGTACTATTGGGCGAAGCATATAGGATCTTTGGAGGTGGGCCACAGTTTGTAGCTGAAAAAAACCCCAACCAAACACACATTAGTAGTAATCATATGTTTTTACCTAATGCTTTGGTTCGTTTGTCAGCCTTGGTGGCTCGGTAAGTCGCTAGCTTCAGGAGTAATGGTGTAACTATTGTCCATATGTGGTTACCATCGATATGTAGTTCCAGAAACCACTTTAGGCAGTGACCAGAAACCACATTAGGTAGTGATCAGAAACAACATTAATTAGAGATCAGAAACCACTTTAGGTAGTGCACAGAAACCACATTAGGTAGTGACCACAAACCACATTAGGTAGGCCATGTGTACACATTGGCATGAACGTAAAAAACCCCATGACAGTTGGATTTCGAAATATGAGTAAGCTGTATATCGTAATGCACGTCCCGATTAGAACAGTCGGTACAAAAAATAAGTCCCATGTCAAGTCATTATATTCAATACGTCCAATGGTCATATAGACATGCCTGTGTACAATTTTTCAAAGCAAAAAATAAATCGTATGGAGCTTTCTCAATCACTAATTTGAATAAAAGTCAATTCTACCCAATTCGATTCTTGCAAAAGTCGTTAGTCTTGTTCTTGGCGCGGCGCTCTTCAAAAAAGCCAAAGACTCCGACAATTCGAGTACGATGACGGCATGACACGTGAAAGCTTGTTCTTTGGACAATTAGTGTATGCATACTGACTCTTTCGAATTTGCCATGACACCACAATTCAAAGATGGCTGTGATGACGTCATGGTCGGCTCCTAGTTCCATTTAGTACGCTCGTACTTGGTTACTTAAAGATGCATTATGTAGGAGCTAAATATGTCTACAACAGATTTGTTCCCTGGATTCAAATATTATTTAAGCATGCCAACAGTAAGGCTGATGTCCCCCTCCGAAATCCCGAAATAAATAGATGATACATATTAATTAATTGCACATTTATTCTTTTCAAAAGTATCTAGCAATCAAACTGATTATCAACTATATTTTAAATTACGTCAAGCTATATCAGATAGACTCAAAGTTCTCTTGTCCGTAAGCATCGACCAATGAAATGGCTTAGATCTGCTTAGCTTTAGCGGGAAATGTTAACCATTGAACTTAGTCAAGACATCCATCTAATGAACATCTACCTCAGTTAAAAGCAAAGTTGTTGAGTTCCAAAGTTTTGACCAATCAAATTGCCTAAGCAAAAAATTCTCATCATCGAACTTAGTCAAGGTAATGCTAAAATGAATCTATTATCAGAGTTTCATCGCTCTCACTTAATTATAACCAAAGTTATCGTGCCCCAAAGTATCAACAATTCAAATTGCTTATCTCTGCCTACCCTAAGCAGAAAATGCTCATCTTCGGACTCCATCACGGCATTCACCTAATGAACGTCTACACCACATTTGAACATTTTACCTTAAATAGAAGGGTAGTTATTGTGTTCCAAAGTCTCGACCAATCAAATTGCTTATCGTTCTGCTTACCCTCAGCAGAACATGTTTATTATCGAACTTTGCCAAGGTATTGATGTTTTGAAACTATACACCAAGTTTCCCTACTCTCACTGAATTAGAACTAAAGTTATCGTGTACCAAAGCACCAACCAAATAAATTGCTTATCTCTGCTTACCCTAAGCAGAAAATGCTCATCTTCGAACTCCATCAAGGTATTCACCTAATAAATACCTACAGCAAGTTTGAACATTCTGGCTCAACTAGAAGGGGAGTTATTGTGTCACAAAATGTGTGACGGACAGACAGGCAGACGGACAAAAACATTTAAATAGTCCGCTGCTTTCGTTGAAAGGCGGGGACAATAACCACCAAACATCTATTAACACTCCAAGTCCATACTCAACTCTCTATATCTTCCGATGGCTCAGAATTTAAGTAGTTTAGAACAAAAATAAACAATCTACGCTTAATTTTGTCAAACTTCAAAAACTCATGACTTTGTACAGAATAAAGTAATTCAAATGAAATTGTCTTTTTTTTTCAGTATCTATTTTTTAACTTATATTTCAAGAATGACCAGTTCTTATCTGATTCTTACATAATGTATCTTTACAAGAAAATGGTTCAGCTTCTGTGCATAAATTACATAATCTACATTAACAAACAAAAAACTCTTGTAAAATATAAACCTACTTACTTTCGCAAATGGGTAAATCTCCGTACTGAGTATGAGTTAACAGATCACCGTTTGGGCCACATACCTGTAACCCACGTGAGCCAGCAGTTTGCATATAACCATTTTTACATTTCCGTTCTATGATTTGTTTATATCCGAAATAATGATAAGTGCCTGACGTCACAACTCTGGATTTAACATCGCTAACATTTGTTAGACATGCGGTAACTGAAGGAATAAAAAAAAGGAAATAAAAGCTGGTAACGGTTCTCTACACCCCGTTGCCTTATTTAAGGAATATTATACAGAACCAGACAAAAGATTGTGTATATTGGTTTTTAGCAAGGGCGGAAAACCGAAGAATCGGTACAAGACATTATGAAGTTAAGAAGTTATCCCTTTTCTTCACCTACAAGCGGAGGGGGGGGGGGTCGAAACCACGACACATAGTTCGAATCGCAAGTATTAGACCACTACAGCCCGCCCACCCCCACCTCACCCAGAGCACACCAGAGATGGAAATTACAACATGTGAATCGAAGACAGGTCGTATGATCTAACGTGTACGCATTAAGCCTAGCTCACAACTCGCCGTACGTGCTTCAGCGGCCAGTCTACAAGGGAAATGTTATAGCAAACGTGTGCGTGAGACTTACGCGTCATGTGCACAACTTCCAGTTCAAACTCTCCCATCACAACTTCCAGCCCATATCGGCCAACCCCTCTGCCCATCAGAACTTCCAGCTCATACCCTCCCATCTGAACTTCCAGCCCATACCCTACCATCACGATTTCCAGTTCATATCGTCGCATCACATCTTCCAGTTCATACCCTCACATCGTAACTTCCAGCTCAAACACTTCCATCTCAACTTCTAGTTTATACCCTCCCATCACAACTTCCAGCCTATACCCTCCCATCACAAATTCCAGTTCATACCCTGCCATCACAAATTCTAGTCTATACCTTGCCATCACAATTTTTTCCAGCCTCATGCCCTGCCATCACAACTTCTTCTAGTTCAAACCCTGTCCTAGTCGGAGTAGAACAGTAGGCCGTTAAATCTCATTTCACAATTCTCAATTGATACCCTCCCATCAGAACCGAATTAAGATGATGAGTGGTCCTGATCTATTCAACCTGTGAGATCGCCCATCCCCTCGCCCCCTATCTCCCCGCCAATCCTCCGACACTCTGAAGAAAGTGTGTGTTAAAGTGAGTTAAGTCGAGAATGATGACGGATATATCATACAGCTTCGCCGGAGTCCACACAAATCTTGAAGTCTACCAAGACTATAAATAAATCCGGCAATACCACCCATTATGTGTCCCCACCCCTGTTGCGTACATCGCTGCTCACACGTTAAAAGTGTTATAGCGCAGAAAACACAGTAAAAACAAATCAAATTTCGTTTCGCCTGATTCATAAGTAAAAGTCATTATACTTACATGCCCACATATGACATGTTCTGTTACATTCTGATGCCCAGGTGGGTAGAGGACAACCTGGTTCTGGGGTATCACAATAACGACATTCATTTACATACTCCAGACAATCACATCTTTTGTCTTCAAACTGTGGTAGATGTGGCTGTTTTTCTGTCATGGAGAGAATAATATTTGATAAATAACACGTTATACGTATTCCTAAAATAATTGCACGGAAATCCCTCTCTGGCCATTGCTGGATTGGCTTTTGAGGGAGTGTGTCTATTCTTCCCGTCCAATCAAATCTAACCCAAGTACAGCAACATGACAACCCTTCGTTTAATTGGGGTCTTCCCTAAAACTATTGACAGGGATTCAAGGTATTAAAAACGGTGAAAGTATTGTTTGTCTCCAAACAGTATTGTTCGCACTGTAGCCGTGTTGATAGCCTCGTTTGTCAAGCAATTGGTTTTTCTGCAATATTCTGCTATACACTGGTTAATAGGGCATAATAAAATCGTGAGTCATGACGTAACGTTATGTAAACATATTTGGTCCAATATCGAGCTCTGTTTAAAGGGTAATGATATTGTAACGCAGTTAGCTATTGGTTGTTAATCGGACTATTGAACTGAAATTTGCTTCCATTACAGCAATGTTAAGTGGGATTAGCTCTAACGAAACACTGCGAGGATTATGCACGTTTTACAGGATAGTAACAAGCATTGCCTGAGTAGAAAGAAGTTGATTGTTATCCAATATACAACCTTCACAATTAAGCTTATCCGGTGATGCAAAAACGCTAAATAATTTCGATTCATATGAAATTCCAAATTGTTTTTAGTTTAAATGGTATAGTATGCATGTATATGACTATTGGATTAATTTTTTTATGAATTAAATGTATTTTGTCTAAATTGGCAGTTCTATTCCAAATATAAAAATAAAATATTCTACTTTCAATGCATTGACAAACAATAAAATCTATTTTATCACGTATAAAGGTCTGAATGATTATTTTGAATCCTGTATTGTTTAGTTTTATTAATTATTAATTAAACTGTTTTAAACTAATTGTGATTATAGATCTTCTGTTGGTTATTACAATTAATAATTAATGAACAATGGAGAATTTCACTCACATGGTATAAATATAAATATTTAATAATATACTTTTCTGCACCAACGAATATATTCAAAACGGGGCTTATGTCATGCAGTGTGATTTGGGGAGGCGGGGTGTACCCTACGGTCTTCTCTTATTTCATTTGGCTCGCTAACCTGGAGATCCCGTGTTCGATCCCTCCGTTTGCCGAGAAGGTTCATCAACACCTTCCACGGTGCTACTACCTTGTCAACTATTCAGGACGAAGGTCCTGGCAAGGGACGGCGTATAGTGGTTCGGATGAGCCAAAGGACCGAAGTACCGTGTACACATTGATAGTTGGAATTTTATATAAGAGGAGGCCATAGCTGTCCTACATCCGTATGGACAATACCGATGGGCAATCTCGGCCAGTCCCGAGATCGAACCGGGGTATTCCTGGTTAACGAGCTAGCGTCTTTCTGACCAAGTAACCTCGGCTGGTAAATATAAATAGGTGACTCTGAGCAAGAATGTCCCAAGTTCAATTTCATTTCATTTCTGTCCTTCTATTTCTTGGACAGCGGTGTATCGCCAAATTCCAACCACCTAGGATTCTTTTACGTACACGCTAACGTGTATACGGGATCTCGGTATTTATTTCCATTTGAGCGGCTGAAAGCTCTGTCGTGGACAACTGACAAGTGGGAAACAAGACCAGACAAGTCCGAGGAACTTTCGTGGGATAGAACCCGGGATAACCTCGTGTCTTACTCTTTGAGTCTTCCTGGCTTCCTTTCGAAAAATAAAGAGATTTATATCAAAATAATCATTTACAGTTTGAAATCAATGGAGTGTATGAGGAACCCACGATGGTAGTTAAATGCAAAATTAACATATTTTAGTCTCATAATTACCCAGCCAAGTATTGAAAAGACTTAATGTCCATCTCTCGAAATGAAATGGAAGGGCTGAACGTCTTAGTGTTCGGTACCAACTAGGTGAATGAAGACGACCCTATGCCATGATGTGTCCTATGGGGGTAAATTTGGCACGGGCAGTGGCGTTTCCGCCAGCTCTTTATCGAATTTTCTTCGATTTTTCGTCCCATTCGAGCGACTGGTCGCTATTCGTTGCCAAGTCATCCTTGAGACCACGCTGGAAACGATGTTGTATATATATTGTGACTTACCTGTACACATATCTGAAGAAATACAGGATTTGTGACAGGCACACATTGTTTCGTTGGATCGAAAATAACATTCGTGATTAGCCGCTAGCTCAGGGCACTCTGCTAGATCATCAGCACAGCTGTCTACAGCCCCACCACATAACTGAACTGGAAAAAAATGCTACTTGTTATACTTAAAATGTCTTCAGAATTTTGATTGGGGTTAAAAAAACAAAAGTGTCGATTTAATTAAATTTGACGTGATGATTTGTTTCCCCAAGTCGATATCCTGCTTATATTTCAAATTTTAAGTCCACGGTTCGGATGTCAAATGTCTGCAGTTTGGGTGATTACGGAAAATGAATTAGTAAAGTGCTTCTCGGTCCAGTAGATAGTCCATTGTCGTTAGTTTTCGCCTACGCGCCCCTCCAGTCCAGAATATCTGGGATAACCAAATCTTATATGCCAAAAACTACCCAATTTTAAATGCTGAAACTATCTAATTGTAAAGGCTAAAAGAAAAAAAAGTATTTACAAAGATTTTAACATTGGTCATCCACTTCAGATAGTATAATAATAACTAGCGTTGAATGAATCCATGCCGGGAAATTATATTTCGTTGATATTAGTTAAATATCCAATCGGGGTATATTTTGGCGTATATTAAACCATGATTTAGTCCGAAAAATGTAAATTATGTAATTTGTCGTGAACTTACCCGCATGTACAATGAGAATCACACAGAACAGTTTAACGTCCATAACGCAGGTTGTATCTTCACCTCAAAAAACAATTCATTTACATTAAAGCTAGAACGACGTAGGTTGTGGCATCAACTAATAGAAAAATAAACAAACCTTCAAAATCCTATAACACAGTTTTTTACCACCGCCCAAAAAATAAAATTTGCTTTATTCACAGACAAACAAAATAAAGAGTGTTTTTTTTTCTAAAATACTCGATTCCTTTTTCGGTGCCTCGGTCTTAAAACAACTCAAAGAAAATGGTGAATAATCGTTTAAAACAATATAACGTCTTATTTACTAAATTGTATTTGAAACATTAACTATCCTTCCTATTCCTTGCCTAAAAAAATGTCTTCATCCTCTGTCAATAACACGTTTTCCAATTCAAACACGAACTATATTTTGACTCATTTAAACAGCAAATAAATTAAACATCGGGTTAATCTAAAATAATGATTATATCGCCAGCCAATAAAACGTTGTGTAATTCAAATAATCAGTCTTAAAAATACTTACTATTTGGACTATTTGTAAATACCATTAAAATTAAACATTATTCGTGCATTAGTATATATGATCTCAATAAACAAATCGGTTGTGAAATCAAAACATTGAATATCTATTCCTGTAAATTGTGCTTAGTGTGGTCTTTACCGGCAAGTATTTCAAGCGCTGTTTCACGAGCTGCTAGTCCCATAAAATAGACAACTTTATGAGTGGATTACAGCAACAATTTGCTTATATTTACCACAGGGAAATGCGGATCAGCGGGGGTGTAGCTGGTGGGACTTAACTTTTGTTGTGGGTTTTTAGGGTTTACATTTGGAATTTGTACGGCCCATATGACCTTTCAATCCTTGATGGATTGAGTCATGGCTGGTTTACTAAGTAAATTCAAGATATGTATTATGATATGATTATTCATTCATTCATTCATTTGGGGAACACATACAATATTAAAATTTAGCTGCCGAAATCAAAAGGGCACGAAGTATCAGTGATTTTCCCCTCGCTATGCCATTACAAAAGTTATCTTCTCGTTAACAGATTTTAGTCAATATTTCTATACATTTCTGTTGCTTAGTTACTATTATCTATTATTTTATGACACGTGGAGTAAGAAGACCATACACCCCTGCTCAGACCCGCCCTTTATGTATTTTTGATCATTTGAAACAATGAATAAAATCTTTCGCTTGGATAATCTTTTTCATTCAGTCGTTCAATCGGGATCACTCGGTACTTCCCGTAATCCGTAAATAATGGCGCAACTTTATGTAGCAATTGATACGCTTTCTATACATTGATTATCTTTTATGCGACTTACAACACACAAGCGTGATCTTCATAACAATAAATTATTCACTTCTTGATCTTTACAGCTGTAGGAATAAAAAAAAAAACATCCGGAAAAATCAGTATTTGTTTCAAGGTGTGATCATCCCTTTCATAATAAAAGTAATTTAAGCAAAAATTAGATTCGAAAAGTAAAGTTCTTAAGTCACCGGAATCTCGCAAATCGTGTTTTCTATCAATTCAACGTTAACATTTTAAATCTCGGGTGTTATTCGTGGTCATATTTCATTTGTAATTATGTTAAAAGTACGTGTAAAAGGTATGAGTGCTCAAATTTAAACGTCGTTTGATTCCATTCACTGTGTAACCCTTCAGATTATCGGAAGGAAATCCTCTTACTAATAAACCGATTCACCCTTTCCCTTTGATTACCCCTTTAGTTTACAATGGTATTGTATTTCAGTGGCATCGTTTTGAAACGGGGTTTAACGCCCGGGCTAGTGAACAACGTGCATACTCCAAAAGTAACCAGGTAGATATAATTTCGTCTTCCCATCTGAAAGTAAATCCAATCTAAAAAAAAGTATGGAGTACTTAAGAATGTTTCTAATATAACCATTGATTGCCGCTTTCTTTTAAAGATGCATTATGTAAGAGCTACATCTGCCTTTTACAGATCTTTCTTTCGGCCTAAAACATAATATGTAAATTATTAATTAGACATTTATTCACATAATAAGCCTATAATCAACTCTTTAGACAATCGAATTGTTTTGGTAATTTGAACGGATTGAAACACGATCGCCAATTAATAATTCAATTTAAAATGGATAATTGAGACTTTGTTTATTATCGTATCAAACAGTCATAACTTCGCCGAGAATGATGTAATTTGATGGAATTTTCAAAATATTCCTTTTACATTATCTATGTTTAAACTAGTATAGCGAGAACTCCCAGCTCTTTGTCTAATGCTTACATAATGCATCTTTACAACAACTTTATTATAGCCATAAGGAATTAAAGGCTCAATACCACTCTTGTTGTAACTGAATAATATGTCCCAATCTTTATTCTGGTCAACAAATTGTAATATTTTACAGTATTCCAATTAATTGATGATACAAATTTCATCTTAACACACCTAATTTAAAAAATTGGAAAAATTCAACTAAATGATTTGAAAAGCCTAACGTAAACCTTTTCAAATGTGTCTTGTATTTAAAAATATTTCCGAACCCTCCTGACAAGTAAAATAGGATGTAATGGATAATTTACACAACAGGTAGGACACTTAAACATCTAATACTTAGAATAAGGCTAATATTTATTTACTGGAGCTGTCAAGCCAGCAAGAGTGTTATTGTCAATTTAAAAGGTTCGATTTATTCTATATTTGGTGCAGTCTTTAAAGACGGAATTGGCATTTAATTATTATTCTATAACATATCATACTTTTCAATTAACGCCAGGAAAGGACTCTCATTTTCCGCGCAAAGTCTTAACCCAAAATCAAAACCATCTGCAAGCTAGTAGATTATAAATTGGGAATGTCCAATGATCAGATTAATATTTTACGAAATGAAATAGGTTTTACTTCTTTAATATATCGATTATTACTTAGGATCTACGTACACACGTGAATAATGGTTCATTTGCATCACCGGTAGGAAAGTATCGTTTATTAAATCATACTGACGATAGAATGACGAGATCACTGATTGATAAACGTGCTGGTAAACTATGATATGACATTACATCGATAGTTTCTTGTTAAGATTCAGCTATCATAAGACCGTCAACTCGGGATAGCATTGTTCTGTTTGTACAGGGCCGGATAGATACGTATTGTTAAAAGGCGTGTGGCTCTATTCTTTGGAAACGTAAGCTATACGAAATTGGTCTCAAAGCACATACTTATGTAATATGCATGTATAGAAAGTGATTTATTTTCAATATCAATATGGATTGAAATGGATCAATATTCGTGTTTTTAATTCTGAACATTATGGGAATTGTTGAGTTACGAGGTTTAGCTCATTTAAAACAGTCGATCGTGGATTAAGAGAATTTGTAAATATCTAGATACAGATACAAGTAAAACCATTGTAAACACATTGACTATTGCAATTCATTACTGTTTGGCATCCCTGCACCAACTTTACAACGTCTTCAAAAAAATCCAAAATAATGTCGCCCGTATTATAACCAGAACGAAACTATATCAGCACATCACACACTGAAATATTTACACTGGCGTGCTATTAATCAACGCATCAATTACAAAATACTTTTAATAACTCCTTACAAATGTTTACAGCCAAACACCACTTCTCCTACCTACCTTAAGAATCTACTTCACATAAAATAATCACAATGCGAAACCGGTTCCTCAAACAAAATTCAACTAGAAATTCCGAGATCAAACTATGTGAAATGTGGAGACAGAGGCTTTTCGGTTGCTGCTCCTAAATTGTGGAACAGACTACCATCATTTTTTAAGGATGCAAAATCAATGTGTATATTCAAATCCTTGCTAAAAACACATCTAATCAGTGCAGCGGAAATGTGACAGACTACCCAGCGCCAGTGAGTAAACATTTGTATATGAGGCGCTATACAAATCCATTATTATTATTTATTATTATTATTATATATGAACAATTTACGATGCTGGGACACAGGTCAGGTGCTACCGGGCCAGTTGATGTTGAAACTACACTTTAGAAAGAGTAATCATATGCATGGCCCCTCCTCCCTCATAAAACACTTTTGAATTTTTCTTAAATATAATATTATAGATCTGTATATGGTTTAACATACCACTATTTGGCCTACTCTCATATCGAATTCCAAATGTCAAGGGCTCTTTTTACGTACACATACACGGTTTTTCGTCCCATCCGAACGACTATACGCTGTTCCTTGTCAGGCCCTCCATTCTGCACTACTGACAAGGGGAACCAAGCTGTATATGAAGGATAATATCTTTGGTAGTGCTTAATATAAAGTAAAGGTTCCAAAGGGAAGACTTGATCTACACTTGAATTACGAAAATAAAAATATTATTCGATATTTTGTATACTTACTGTTTCTAATCACCATATCCAGAATTTCGTCTTCATTGGCCCGGTTGTTGCAGAGGAGTGCCCCTCGTTTTATTTCAGTTCATTAACATATCTAAAAATCTTCTTTTGGTTCAATTTGCACATCCCAACTGTAAATATCATGTAAATTAAATTCTGTTATGTGAGGAGCCAGGGGAGGACTGGGTAGCTCTGGGCCCCGGACCAACTAGTTTCCTTGGGCCGTCATCGAGTTTTGTTGAATTCGAAAACGAAACTAGCGTAATCCACATTCCCGTTCTCTAGTCATAGATTATTAGATCATAATATTTTTCAGATAATGTAAATTTTTCCAATCGGGGTTATAACTTTGCTCGGAATGGAGTAATTCGACTGAAATTTCAAAAATATTCTTTTTTCATTATCGACGTTTGAACTATTGTAGCAAGAACAGACAGCTCTTTATCTAAATCTTACATAATATATCTTTAATATATCTTGAGAATTTTTTATGTTTTGCGTATTGAAAATCAGTGCAGTATTTTTTATCTGGTTTCAAACATTCACGTACTCAGAACACATTAAAATCATTTTAATGATTGGTGGTCAAATCTTAGACTAAAATCGACATTTACGGTTTTGTTTTTTAAAAAAAGAAAATAAATACATCCATGCCTAAATGTGTAATGAAATGGGTTTTAACATCCTACACAACCTGGCCTAATGAAGACAGACACGCATACAGTGTGCGCTATTGGGGAAATTTTGCCCGGTTAGCGGCATGACGGTCTACACTGGGGGGGGGGGGGGGGTTGGGGTCACGCCAGAAAAACAGGAACTTTCTCGTTTAACACGTTTGACTCACTGAGCCACCGCGTCTACTACATAACAATGTACTCAAATTGATTATTGAACATTTAATAAAGGGGGGAGGGCAAGATTATTAAATGCAGATAATTTATCTTCTGTTTCCACATAAGCCTATATATAGTGATATCGCAAACAGTGAGCTGGGTACATGTGCCAAGGGTTCCCAAATTTTGATAATGTCCACTGAAAACAAAATAGGATATTTCCGAAGATCAAGAAGAAACATCACCGACAGTTACAGGCGGTCGATTCTATAAACTATTGAATATGATTTTACGTAAAATTAATTGCATTAGATTTTGTTGTTTTAAATTCATAATTGTCCCGTTATACAAAGCTCAAACAAAAAAGGCAAAGAAATATGGAATGGATATGGAAAATATTTCAAAATTGTGGAGATGAAAATCAATAGTCATTTATGTACGCGTCAAATTTCCATAAGAAATAAACACTGAAAATTTGTTTTGTTCAATATTCGTAATCAATGATATCAATATTTATTAGTGACTGGAAGAAAATCAAACATTCATTTCGTTTCGTTTTTTCAAGGAATTAAAATTGTGTAAATGTAGACGACACCTTCGTCACGTGACTCAATGTTTGGCTCTCTATTCAAAATGGCGATTTCTTTGAACTTGCAATGACAACATTGACAACCACAAGTTGACAGTGGTCATATAGTAAGTTGGTATAATGGTTTCTTTATTTTTAAGAGAAGGCTAACTACGAAATATTTTAATAGGTGTCATTTTGTGTTGAATATATTTATTGTAATGATTAAAAATTATAAGTATTCAGATCTAGCCTAAATTGAATCTATTTTTAGAACATTTTTGACAAGTCCACTCTTGTCAACTAATCAAATTTAGTAAGGAAAACTGAAAGTAACAATAGATTATTAATATTGCAGTTCTGGTAGTTCCTTTAGGAATGCTCTCTGATTGGAAGCTGTCCTCTGACAGTTCCTGTTCATCCCTATACTGCAATTTGAATATGAGAGATACATGTAGATACTTTAAATTAGTGCAGAGACTAGAGAGAGAACTGTGGTTTAGTTTAACGTCCATTATCTTGCGTGTAGGGGTCTTTAGCAGTGGGAGGAAACCGGAGGACCCAGAGAAAACCCACGAAGTTGGACAGGCGCCCCAACTCCTTGTCACGTACAACCGGGGAATCGAAACCACGTACGCCAGTTGACTCCTCAGTCATTGACAGACCTTATATGATTCAACGCTCACACGCTAACCATTCGTTCATTCCACCCCCACCCCAAATTTGAATATGAAAATACCGCTCTACACAACTACAGTCAACCCCCACCTTTGTTCTATAAGACTATTTTGGAATCCTTACCATCTAATAATGACCGCAATTCTTCTTTGTTTACCTAAAGGATTTATTTCTCGCCACATCTGACACAAATTTAACACTACATGTATCTTATCGCTCAGTACATAGCATTGTAATTATGCATGAATTGTTAGTGTCGGTGTAAAGAACTGCACTTTACTGACTTTAGCTAAAACAAACACATCAGACTGTCACTATACACATTCTCAACATATTTAGTCATTTTGACAGGACAACATTAATCATCTAGCAAGTGGAAAATCTAAATATTGACTTCCAGTAATCATTATACCCCACACAGACAGCCAGATCTGACTCTGACCAGATTTAGCCCAGTTTTGGTATGTCATATCAGGCCTAATCATTTTGCCATATGTGGCCAGATATGGGCTGTGTATGTGCCAAGTACAGTGTGTTGTCTTGACAGTAGCTCGATCATTTACTTATCTTCCCGTGTCAATGATGTAGAACAGAGGGTTTGGCAAGGAACAACATGGTTTGGACAAAAAACCAAGGTCCCATGAAACCCTTGAAAGTTGGAATTATTGGATTTTCAATTAAGAATAGGTCAATCGTCATAGTAGATGTTACCTGCATAGCAAGATATATATCCATGACTTCATGAACCCTTCTGGTGCAGAAATGTAGGACTTTAAACCCAATATTATTTTTATTACCATTTGGTTTTTACAGGCATACCAAATACAGTTAGAATGGACTTGAGCCATTTAACAGATGAAAGTGATATCGGTAAATGTCCAGTTTAGATAACCTATATGTTTGAATGGCAGCATTTGTTTCAATACACAAGCGAACCCTTCTTGACAGTTGGAAAGTTAAAACAAGGCGAAAATGTAACTTTCTGGGTAAAATGATCCCACAAATCATTACTGGACCTGTTATGAATAATCAGCAAGCTTTTTTTATGGGATTATCAAAATTACCATTAAATGAGCCAATTACTCAGATTGTGAACCGATTCTCACTAAGGTATGACTGATATACATGTTGCCGACAAGCGAAAGATAGAGAGAAAAATTGGGTTTAACCCCCCTCGACACAAACTAGGTCATTTTGGGAGTAACATATTGTCCAATTTTATTTCAATCAAAAGCTTGTCCATAGGGTCTTTAGCAGTAGGAGAAAACCAGAGAAAACCCACAAGGTTGGACAGGCATACAAGCGGGGAATCAAAACCACGCGACTTGACTGAATGATAGACATACACCACCCCCACTCCCGAGAAAAATGGAGTTTAACGTCCACTTGACAAAAACTAGGTCATTTCGGGAATAACATATGGTTCACTTTTATTTCAATCAATTTTTTGTGCGTGGGGGTCTTTAGCAGTGGGAGAAACCTGGAGGATCCAGAGAAAACCCATGAGGTTGGACAGATGGTCCTACTCCTTGTCACATACAAGCGGGGAATTAAAACACCCCACTTGACTTCGTGACAGACCTTATAATGAAATGTGCACGCATTAACCATTCAGCTACCACGCACCCAACATATTGAGAATTTTATTTCTTTTATTTTCTGTATAATTCTTTTTTTAGATGACTACCTTACACCAATAGAAGCCTCAAGGAACCACAGTCATGGACATTTGATAGAATCAGACAGTGTCTCTGAATTATTTTTCCTTGAGAAAGACAAACCAAGACCATTGTATGGATCAAAATCTAGAAGTAAAGGAGCTACTAGTGGTACTCAGAAACACAAGAAAGATTTGGTGAAACGAAAATCTCCGGCTTCTGCATCACGACACAGGCGACATGTTCCTTCAGATGAATATGGTAATATTGTAACCATAACAACATAACCTCTGGATGATATTGAGTTAGAGACTTGCCTCCTTTAATCAAAACTATATTATCAATGATAATTTTTCTCTCAGCTTCAATGGGGGTTAGGAGTGTGCTTTAGATCTGTCATTGAGTCAAGTGGCATAGTTTTTTATCCCAAGCTGGTAGGTGACAAGTATGAAGGAACAGGATTGCCTGCACAACCTTGTACTATTCGTAGGTTTTTTCTATGCCCTCCAATTCCCTCCGACTGCTACAGCCTAAACACCTCTATGCAAAAGAGAATTGAAATAAAAAAAATTGTACCATATGTTAGTCAAGAAATGACCTAATTTGTGTCACCCAACTCTCTGTGTCTCTGTGTTATAAAATTTTATATAAATGAATTATGTTATATTTTGTACATGTATAATTATTATAATGTATGGTTATCAGATATGCCATATGAAGATGAAGATCATATGAAAGAGATTTATAAAGAGTTACAACTTATCAGTGATAAGTTAAAGGTAAGATTTCCTGATTGTCATCCAGTTTTCTCCCACTGTTAAAGACTCCATAACCACTGTGAACTCACTGACAAGGGTAAACCACTCTGCATGAACTTTCACGGCCAACAACAGGCCAGGATCGTGGGTAGTGAACCAGTACTTTACTCATGGAGCCACTGAACAGGATTCAACCATTTTTGGGCTGATAATCCTTTTACTGTATTATAGTTTACAAGGGATTGTAACATGCTTTAGGGTGAATCTTGTGTTTTGATTGGTCAGTAAAACACTGTCGATTGGACAATAACAATCTTCTGTTTTAGTAATTTGTTTTAAAATTCAAAAATAGCATGTTACAATGTCGATAAACACTTCCTGTTTCGCATTTAGAGGGTTGTTACTGTCTTGGGTCCTAATGATCTCAGGACATGTCTATTGGACAATGACATCCTTCTAAATGTGAAACAGGAAGTGTTCATCTCCTAATTCAAATGACATTTAGACTTGATTTGATATTTGTTGTTTATTTCTTGCCATGTCTGTGTAGTTTGTTTTGCTCACAGGTTTGTCTTGTCGGGGTTTTTTTGTATGTAGTGCAGTTCTCATGTAATTACTATTTAACTAAGACATCTTTAAACTTGGTGTATATTGATTATGTATGTTATATGTTTTTTTGTTTTTTTTTTATAGAAAGAAAATGAAGTTCTACATGAACGAGAAGAAAGAGTTAAAGAACGAGAGCGGTTATTGGTCATATCTCAATCGAATATTAAAACAATCACAGAACATCAAGTTAAACAAAAATTACAAGAAATAGAACAGGTTAGATTTAAAGATAACTTTTCCACGAAAGTATTTATTAAAGAAATAGAGATACCATATCAATGCTAGATTAGATTCAATCAGATTAAAACAGGCCCTTCTATTAGATTACAGGAAGCTTAAGAATGATGGAGTAACATTTACATAGGGAGCAGCATAGATCGAAGGAAATAGATGTTTTAATGTTTCTTCTTTATTTCAGAAATATCAAGAGGAAATGAATCAGTTAGATCATAGTTTGAGAGAGAAAGCAAAAGAAAATAAAAGATTGAAAGATAATTTTGAAACTTTGAAACAAGCGAATGATGCTCTTAGGAAAGAGGTAAGAAGAATAGCTTGGAAATGGCTTTCTGATCTAGAAGGCAGGTGGGTCAGAAGGGATTTTTTAGGCCAGTAAAACTTTTGTCCATCACAGCCAATCTGTGATAAAATAATTTAAAGTCACTGTTCGTCTTTTACAGTTTTCCGACAATATCTAAATTCCACTAAAATTGATAACATTTGATTAAAGATGCATTATGTAAGAGATAAATCTGTCTATTGCATGTCTTTATTTGTTTTATTCGTATATTTATTAACATGACAAGCCCATAGTTAATTCTTTAGGCTATTGGATGGCCATCTTATTTTAAGTAGATTAGAACGCTTTGGCCATATAATGATTTAATTTAAAAATGGAGAAGTGAGGCTAGGTCTTGACTAACAAGTTCTGTTGTTTTCATAAAAAGACAATCAATGCCAGATCTTGTCACAACTTCAAACAATGATAACTTCGCTCAGAATAAAGTAATTTTAATGAAATTTTCAACATATTCATTTTGCATTATCTATTTTTGAACTATTATAGGAAGAATGGCCAGCTTTTTATCTAAATCTTACATAATGCAGTTTTAAGAAAACAAAATCAAATTATCGACAGTAGAAATCTCCTGAATTTGATTCAACTGCCTTAATAGAACTCTTACAGTTGCAGATCTTTGGGATATCTCTGGCATTACACATCACAATATTCTGTTGATTGAGAAGTCGTTTGATCTAAACAAAGCTTGAACTGCATTTGCTAACTCATGGTATAAACACTTGCGAGTATATAACATTATATTCATTGCTGTTTATCCATCATTAAACAATAAAACCTAAATAACAGATAAATATAGACATTTTTTCAATGTTTATGTTAAATATCACCCAGAAAAATCGAAACCGTGATATCTTTGGTTTTTCGATATTTTTCTGAAGACAGTATTTAAGAGGGTTTTTATTTCTGTGACAGATTTATATGGACTAGTTTAGTTTATATTGTTTGCAGATGTTGCAAAATATTCATTTCATCATATCGTTAGAAATACCATGGACCGTATATACGGTCCATGGAAATACTAATATGGAATTTAACCATTCTCATCATTTTTCTAACGGATATTCCTTTTAGAGATTTAACTTCCACAATATGGCAGTTTGCAAGTAAAATATACAAAATCTCTTAAATGACGATCCATGGTTTCTATTGTGATGACGTTTTTATTAATTAATAATCGTGTTTTTATGAATTGAATCTTGTCAGTAGTGCAGGTTGGAGGTCCTGTGTTCACATTGGCGTGCATTTAAAGGAACCCTTGACAGTTAGAATTCAAAATAAGAGTAGGCCGTAGAGCTGCTGTATAGCGTATGCACGTCTTTATTGATAGTTAGTGCAGAAAAGTAGGAGGTCAAACCCCATTTTATTTCATTCATTTATTGATGATGTTTTCACTGATTGGTTTACTTACAGATGGATATTTTGCAACAAGGTTATGAGAAGTTAGAGAAACAGGCTGTTAGTAGTCAATCTCGTCTCGTTAACTTACAGGTAACTCAGAGTTTACAATAATTTTATAAATACCCCATCCCTATATTAAAAATACCCTAACCCTAGTTCCCTACTCTTGTAGAGTTTACTTTATTAACTATTATAAATACCCCATCCCTAGTTCCCTACTCTTTTAGAGTATATGTTAATAGATATTTTAAATACCCTGTCCATACTGTCCGTACCCATGTAGAGTTTATGTTAATATTATAAATACCCTGTCCCTATATTATAAATACCCCATCCCTAGTTCCCTACTATTATTGAGTTCAGGTTAATACATATTATAAATACCCTTTTCCTTGTCACGTACGAGTGTGTGATCAAAACCATACCATTTGACTCAATGACAAACCTTGTCATCTAAAGCAGTTACACCTTGCCGAAAAAAACAAAAAACATCCAAAATATTTTTTATATTTTAGCGTAAGCATGAGTATGAGCAACGACAGAAGGGAGATAAGCCAGTGCCTGTGTTGGATTCCTCTGTAGCAAAACTTGGTAAGGTTAAAGAGAGTGATGAGGGGAGTAAAAAATCCAGTAAATCCAGCAAAAATGTTTCTAGTCCTGTCTTAGAGACGATGTCTGTTTTATTAGATTGGGTTTGTGATGCTCATCTACGACAAACTTTAACGGAACAACCAACTCAACCATCGGAACGACTCACACAACCAGAATACGTCCAGGAAAAAATAACACGAGTAAGTTATCTACAATTCAATCTGTTGCTGTTGTTATTCCTGTATGATGTGAGAGAAAGTTAGTGTTATCTAGTTTCAGGGGGGGCATGTGTCAGGGGGGTGGGGAGAATAGTCAAATGTATACAAAGTTCTGATATTTTGATTTTGTTTATTATTTTTGTTTACTTTATTTTGTAGGTTTTGCCATCTTTAGTGGAATTGTTAAAAGAAAATAATTTGGTGAATCTACGAGTGTCTCTTCCATGTTTACAGTTTATTTACTGGTCATTAGTTCATATAGATAAATCACAACCAACTCCGGTATGTCTCTCTTTCTCTCCTCTCTCTCGCTACTCTTTCTCTCCTCTCTCTCGCTACTCTTTCTCTCTTCTATCTTAGCGAATCTTAAATATCTCCACAATTCTCAAATACAGTGTTTGAAAATCTAATTCTTAAATTTGTTGACTACCACAGTCTGTGACTTGTTTACAGTAAGTTGAGTTATAAACATTGGAAATTATTGCTAGTATCGCAGCTTAAACTATTAGAACTTTTTAATTAATGTACATATTCCACCATTTGGTATAATTAATATACATATTCAACCATTTAGTATAATTAAAGGCTGATTAATAATAACAAATTATTCTGACTTGGATAGGCTTGATGTCATTTTTAAAAAAACTGTCTCATCTTTTTGTTTTCATTTTGCAGAAAGCCAATATGACATCCACATTACGCAGATTAGGGGAGGAAGTTTATCGTCCACGATTTAATAAATTATCAGATTCAACCAATCAAGAGTCACCTATTCCTGGTGATTATCGTGCCGAGAAACGACAAGATGGATTATTCTTCCGTAGCCAAAATTCACATCTACGATTCCTGTCTTCCCTTATTATTTTGAAAACATTAACACAAGGTTCGTTTTATATCAATTATATACATCTGTTAGGAGCCATAGCAGTTCAGTAAATAAGACATTGGCTTGCTAACCCAGTGGTCTATGTTCGAACCCGGTCTGGGCCAAATCTTTGGTGCAGGTTGCCTGTGAAAATACCTTGTGATTTTCCAACTCAGTTTCCCCCCTTGTCAATGGTCCAAGGACAAAGGACCTTGTAAAAAAAAAAGTGTCTAGTTATTCTAATGGGAAGAAAAACTGAGATCCAGTTTAAACTGTGTGTTATTTGTTGTTTTCAGCTGATCAGTTGGCAATAGTATTTGATACATTAAAAATAGATTTAAAATCTGATGTGATAAAAGAATTATTTCTCTACTACCAAGCTACAGCAGTTATATCTTCATATCTTAAACCTATTAATAAGGTAAGCTTTGGTCAGGGGTGGAATTGAAATGTATTTATCTATCTGAAACTTTTTAGAGCACATAAATGTTGCTTTTTAACTGAGGTAAAATGTACAAACTTGGTATAGAAGTACCTTAGATGAATGTCTTGACTGAGTTAAATGATGAACATTTTCAGTAATTAGATTTGTCGATGTTTTGATGGAAGTAAAATGTTCAGAATTAGTATAGATGAGCATTAGGTGTATGACATCACCGAGTCTGATGATGAAGATTTTCTGCTTTGGCAAAGAAGATAAGCAATTAGACTTTGCTTCTGATTGAGTGGATATTACATCAATACATTGACGAATGATCTACAAAAAGATAGATGATCAAGTATATGTAATTAATGATTGTCTTGTATTGATTTGAGATTCCGGCAGGAATATTGGATTGTTATCTGTTAAATGAGGTTTTATGTATTTTCAGGTATTTTTAGGTCCTGCTGTCGATATATTAATTCAGATGTCAACAGATTCTCCTTTTGCCTCTTCGTTTCTAGAGAGTTGTAGTAATGAAGTCTGGTTTCGAACTATTGCCATGGTTCTACGTACACCAGTTCAAGAACATAGAATCATGGACTGTCTCAGTATTCTTCTACAAAAATTATCCAAAGTCAAGTAAGCATAATTTGGGTTGTTTGAAAATAGTTCTGCACCATTTTCCAGCTTGGTTGCTCTATATTCAATGATACAAGACCAAGAGCCTGACAAACTCTCTAGTTGTTCAGATAGGATGAAAAACCAAGATCCCATGTACACATTTCCCATCTGTGGATAATGAAAGAAGTACCCTAGTTCGGGAAACATAAGTGCCTGTTAGTCACTGTGTTCCTTTTATTTTGTATTGTATTGATATTGTAGGTATTTCTGATATGGTTGCCCCCTGTCAGTGATGCATTACGAAGAGTCTGACCTGGACAGCTGTCTAGTCATTTGGATGGAATAAAAACCAAGGTCCCAGGTACACATAAAAGAACCCTTGACAGTACACTGTAGCAAAATTTCCCTCATAGCACACTGTATGGTGTATGCCCATCTTCATTAGCCCAGTCAATGCAGAAGAGTAGGATGTCGAACCTCATTTCATTTCAAAAGAATACAGCTTGGCGGTGGAATTAAGCATATTTTAGTCTCAAAATGACCCTTTCTCTCATTGATATTTTGAATTGTTTCAGATCCAACAGAAGATATTTTGAAGTTTATACCATTACCAGTATTTTACAAGAAATATTACGAAACTGTGGCAATGAAAATGCTTTCCTGTCTCTTAATTTAAAATCTATTCTCTTTAATTTAAACTGTGCCACAAAATGAAAAAAAATCTACAACCAGGTGCAATGATTGTGAACTACACACAAAGCCTTATGGGAGTATTTAATTTTGTAGTGCGAAGGATGGGGTTGAGTACCTGAATTTCTCGTTTTCGTCCCGAATATATACGCCTGAATCAGTGCCTGGTACCTAGACTCTGATTTAGCTGAATATACCAAAGAGTGACTTTCTAACGTTTTTTTTTTCAAAGGATACCAAAATTGACAATATTTTTGAGATTCTTGGTACTATTGGTTGGAATATCAGTCTAGACGATTCTGAGAATTTAACCTCGACATGTAGTGTTCAAAACGTGTTATTTAGTGGACTAGAAGTGCAATGAATGCTCAAATATCTGTGACCCCCTTGTCAAAACATTTTGAGATTTTTGGTACTCTTGACTGGAATATTAGTCTTGAAGTTTTTGGTTTCCATTTGACCTCTAATGATGAAAAAATGTTTTGAGGGCAAATAGTTTAACATGTGTACTTAGATCATAAAGTCTGTCATTGAGTCAAGTGGCTTTGCTTCGATTTCCCACTTGTGTGGGTTCTCCAGATTTCTCCAACAGCTAAAGACTCCTAAGCACAAGCGAATTATTGAGCCATATGTTAGTCCCGAAATGACATAGTTTGTGTTGAGTGAATGTCTCTAAAGGATTATTAAAATAATGCTATTTTGAGGTATTAAACTAAAAAAGATCCTTGTTCACTGTGACTGTCGACCGTGCCTCTCTTTACTCTCTTTAAGTAAGTAAAGAATTGTGCCCCCACTCCTCCCTCCACCCCACACACACACACCCAACGCCACCTTTTAAAAGATTTACAGAATGAAATATTTTAAGGACCCAGGTAGAGACTAATTTATATGGGATTAAATATCAGTTTATATACATGTATGTGTATATTATATTAAGACCTGGTTATCCCGGGTGTCAGGGATATTATATAGACACGTGTGTGTATTTATATTTTCTACTTGCTGTATTTAACTTGTAAATAAAATGTTGCATTATTTATCATAATATTGACCATGTTATTGTTATAGGTCCACTGTATATTATCATCTCTCAGTCCATTTCCATTGTCGGCCCACTCTTGTTGACTTCTAATTTATACACATTATTTAAGATTATGAGACGTAAGTTATCATACTTTAAATTTATACACGGTCATTATCATATATGTGATAGAACTGGTTAAACACGTTCCAAATATAATTTTAACACAGATATCATTGCTACGATAGATGCGTAATAAAGGTTTCAACAATCGGAAGTTACGAAGGCAAAAGGAAAACACGATTGTTGAAACCTTTATTACCCATCTATCGTAGCAATGATATCTGTGTTAAAATTATATTTGGAACGTGTTTAACCAGTTCTATCACATATGTGATAATGACTGACACCAATATTGTCCTATAAGGTAAAAATTGTGAGGTAAAAATTGGACGGCCGTAAACGAGTTTTCCTGCTACTCCAGGCCAGGAGTGGAGTACTAGAACTTCAAAGTGGTCTTATATAGCCTTATTTATATAGGGTTTTAACAGAAATCCTGCTCTATGTCGACATGGATTTCAATCAACCAGTCAGTTAGATTGTTTAAACTGCATTCACCGGACATCAGAAATTTAACTTTCCGACAAATTAACAAAACAAAATAATGAAAATACCCGGATATTCGCGTCCACAGACTCCATAGTCTTTACACCAGGGAGAAAACCCACGAGGTTACACAGGTGCCCCGACTGCTTGTCACGTACAATTGTGGGGTCGTCATCGAAACCATGCCACTTGACTTAATGACAGACCTTATGATATAAAGCGCACGCACCCAATGCCCGAATGTCTTAGTAACACCATGGATTAATTATATGTATGAAAGATTAATACAATGGTCATATAGGTCAGTTGCCAGAAGGGTGCCCATAAAAGATTAATACAATGATCATGAAATAAAGTCCAATGATATGAGACGTGCAATGAATTGTTGAATACATTGTCTATATCTTATGGCCATCAATCAAAATATTATCTATGATATATGATAAATATTATTGCTTATATGGCGACATAGATCTCGTATACTCCACGTGGCTTCCCAACTTATCTTACAGCCGGAATGAACCTCCCCGAAGGGCCATTGATCCATTGCTCAGTTTCAATATATTAATTTTGTTAAATATGCTTTATGCAAGAGCTAAATCTGAAATTTTATATACATTATTAACTTACCAAGACCATAATGAACTCTCGATGACATCGGATGCCTGTGATATTTAGTGGATTCAAATACGTTTTCTGGTTGATGCGGTTACCAAATGGTTAATCGAGACTTTGTTTATTATAGTAACGATATTAATTTCAGTCGTGGCTAGAGTACATGTATAATTAAAACGCCTACACCTAGGGCAATTTTACACATCTACAATTTTACAAAGGCCAAGGGTTATGTTACATGCACGTCAATGTATGGGTCGTCCATTATTCGTCCCATTTAAACGACTAGAAGCTTTTCATTTCATTTCGTTTTTTTAAGCCCATATGCACTCTGAAAGAATAAAGTTATTACCCTTGTTCACCCGGTATTTATAGTCGTAAATTTTTACTTCTGCAGCTGTTATATGGCTTTAATATTATAACTACTCCGCGTTTTAGATTTTTATGATTTAAAAACAAAATTCCCTACCAAAAAAAAAACAAGTGAGTCGTTCATACACAAAAACCTCTCGCTCCTACCATGCAAACAAATCCCAAACCAAATAAAAGAGGAAAAAAAACAAAACAAAAACACAAAGTCAATAAAACATACACAAAAAATAAAAACACAACAGCGCTTATTAAAGATGCATTATGTAAGAGCTAAATCTGTCTATTGCAGGACTTTATTTTGACTTCAAATGTTATATAAACTATTATTTAGACATTTATTCATATGACAAGCCCATAATCAACTCTCTAAAACATCGGATGGTTGTAATTTTAAACAGATTGAAACAGGTCGTCATTATAAGATAGTTAAAAAATGAATAATTGCTACAGTGGTAGCAATGAAAATGGCATGTTCCTGGAGCAACGACTGCGAGTTTTACAACATCTGGACTTTGCAATTCTCGATCTTAAAGCTACGTTTCTCCCTTAACTACAGACACGTAAATCAGAAGTTGTGACACAACACACTTAAATCAAATACAGCGACCGCCACGGAAACCTTGACACTGAACGAACCTTAAACTTTGCAACTCGATTATCACAGGTAAACATTTAAGCTGGAAGGCGCGAGACTTGGTATTCGCGATGATTGAGGAATCTGATAGGCTCTCAAGCTGGGCGAATACCCAATCGAAATTGGTGCCGGAATATGCAGGGTATTACGCGAAGGCCTTGATAAGATGTACAGAGTTAAAGCGAGATCAAGCCTTCTATTGAAGATGTGAAAATGGAGACTATGCTAATCTTCAGACATTCATAACTCTGCTCAAAATGAATTAATTTAAGTGAAATATAATTCATGTTTTATTATCTATTTTCTAACTATTATAGCAAGAAAGGCCAACTCTTTATCTAAATTTTACATAATGCATCTTTAAAAAAGTGATTTCAAGAAGGAAGATCAAAGTTGTTATCATTTGTTTTGGTATAATGTCATATATATTTGTTGTCAAGTAGTAGATAACCTATAGTGTACGTGATATAGCCTCGTCACAATATTTAAAAAATCACCCATGGACAGTTACAGTGGCCCACACAAAAATGTAAAGCCTTTTAAAATCAAATTTCAGAAAAAAGATTACGAATTTTCACTTAAAAGATCAATTTATTAAAAATGATCCACGTTATTGCAGAGAAAAATAGCAGTAGTAAGTCTGGGACATTTTAAACTATGTTTAAAGTATACCACAATCGATTTTATTGCTAAACAGTATTATTAAAACATGTCTGCCAATGTGCAAACTGTGATTTGATGATACATTTGGATTCAAAAGCATATTCAGGCTAATTAGTCTATCAAAACATTTTAATCTCAAGAAAATACTATTTTAAACATCCTTGTTTGTTTGTTCCATGACTTGAATGAAGGAAAATTAAATCACGGCTTGTATTTGTCGCTACTCGCTGTCCATTTACAATAATCAATATCGAAGCCTATGTAAATTCTTGGAGAATCCTTTGTCAACGTGTTGGGTTTTTTTTTTGGGGGGGGGGGGGGAATCCAGAATTTTTCTAGTTAGATTTGAGTTTCTCTGTTTTCCCTTTATATCAAATACGCCATACTTTAATTGGAAATAACTAATCTATAAATACTTTCGCGGCAATGCACCTTTAAAACCCTATGCATCTGAAGGGCAACCACCATTTATCTTTCTTAAATTTAACACAAAAAAGCACAAACTAGGTCATTTCGGGACTAACATATGATTCAATTTTATTTCAATAATCCGCTAGCGCTTAGGGGTCTTTAGCAGTCGGGGAAACTCCTTGTCACGTACAAGCGGGGAATCGAAACCACGCAACTTGACTCAATAAAATCGCGGACGCTTTAAACCATTTGACCACCCACGTCTTTAGACACTAGAACTAATGAGATAGTATGTTGATATATGTAAAAGTTAAATAGTGGTTTTAATCTTTATCTATATTTGTGGTGTCAAAATGTAAAAACATAGCTTGGGTACTAGAATCAATAGCTGTTTGTTTTTAGAGACGGACACTAGAGACAAACATTATCACGTTTAATCTACTGTCAGTTATATTATTACTATAGTACACACAGAAGGATAGTAAAAATAGCAGGACTGGGAGTATCACGGTAATATTTTTATTATTATTATGTAAATTAAATGAAATGGGGTTTAGCGTCCTACTATTCTGTAAAAATAGCAGGGCGGAGAGTATAGCGTTAATATAGTGGTAACATTTTTATTACTACTATATTACACAGAGAACATGGAAGGAACGTAAAATAGCAGTGCCGGGAATATAACGTTAACCGCTTAATTGTGACTATAGAAAGAACACGAGGTAAATAACACCGATAACATATAGCAGGATCGGGAATATAACAGTAATATTTATATTATTACAATATTATACAAAGATCAGATAGAAGAAACGTGTAGTAAAATAACAGGGATAATATAGGGCCGGGATTATAACAGTAACATTTATATTATTACTATATTACACATAGAACAGATAGCAGGGTCGATCATAATATAGGACCGGGATTATAACAGTACATTTATATTATTACTATATTACACATAGAACAGAAGAAGAAACGTGTAGTAAAATAGCAGGGATCACATAGGATCTGGATTATAACATTTATATTATTACTATTTTACACGTAGAATAGATAGAAGGAACGTGTAGTAAAATAGCAGGGATAATATAGGACCGGGAATATAAAAGTAATATTTTTTTTTCGTGATATTAATTTAATCAAAAAATGGTTTTGTTTTAACACATTTTAATACACACCTTTTTTCATTTGTATTAATATTGTGATATTATTCAGAGAGAGGGGAGTCTGTTTCCCATTCCCTTTCAGGTATCTGGAATAAAAGTACATCCTTTCCTTCCACATAGAAGGACCATGTAGTAAAACAATGTGGGATATTATAGTATCGGTAATATCTATATGCTTATTTTAAACACCATCGAAATATAAAGGTGACATTGAAAAACGCCTTTTCTTTATTTGAAACGCGTTTCAGAAATTTCAGAAGTAAGTTCAATACATGTATACGGTAATTATATTTTTGTATAGTGTCAGTATGTTCATTGAATTATAACGGTAACATTTTCTTCATAATAGTATTTAATTGAGAAGGAATTTCTCTGTTTTAATTTCATAGACCAGGAACAGGTTTATTTGTTTTATATAGTATCAAAGAAAGTGATTTCGGCGTGTTGATTTATTCATTCATTTAGTTAAATATGAGAGCGATACTAGAACCGATCCTCACATTAAACACCATGAAAATATACCACAAGACACAATTATAATAT